TTGGGCGGTACGATTGTGTTTGTTACTGTGACCATCATGTCTGGTAAATCTTTCAGACCAAGCAAAGCCACGTAAGACAAACATGTACGTCTCTGTAAAGGACAGCTCTGGCGCCCGAGTCTACCGTCTGACGTCACAGCCGGTGCAGCCAAACAGCTGGCGCCAAATCACGCGTGGAAATGCGCTAAGCGGCGATGTTTCTTACTTCAAGGGATATGTGTCCTCCTACAAGGGCTTCGATTTCCAAATACATACATGCCTCCATGTATGTGTCACGCAGTAGAGAGCCAGGCACAGTCCGCTATATGCTGACAGAGTGTTATGTCAATGGTCAGAAGTCTAGCCGCGTCTCTTCTAGTGGCGGGTGTGGTGCTAACGGAAGGGTCGCGAATAACTACGAGTTCTATGCTTTCCCTGGCAGTGAGTACTAACCTTTTCCATGCTGTATATTATTTATTTGTATTACCCGATCTAATATCAAAATTTAAATAGAAAAGTAAGCGGTATTTGTTTCTTTACAACTTTACTTTGAGAAAACCGATTGACAGAGTTAAAGCGCGATTTAAAGCCTCATAAACAAAATAAACAAAATAGTATACAAACCAATCTATATAATCCTTCATTAGGACTGGCCTGTGAGATCCCGGCAATGAACGCCCATACATCAGACCGGCGAACCATCACTGACGGCCTGACCGTGGCCATATCGTACACGTGTACCGTGGGTTACCGCAGTGTGGGTGGAGATGGCTACATCCAGTGTGGGGACGACGGGCGATGGATGGGGACACCTTTACAATGTGAACGTAAGTATGGGGACGAGGAGTGTTGATGGGTATGTAGCAATGCTGTACAACCGTATGTTTTGTTTGCTTGAACGGAACATGAATGGATTGCGGTAGTGGTGATCCCTGCGTCCTTTTATAATATACAGAGTTTTTACTATTACAGTTGGAATTGTAGACTTCAGATGTGTTTTGGTTCAGTTTGCATATATACAGGGGTATGTCATCTGATCTTTACGCTGCATTTCTCAGGTAACGATATCTTGAGCTACAACCCCCACAGTAAAATGCATTTGAATTTATTGGATAGCTTGAATTGTACGTATTTAGTTCCCAAACATGTATGTATACCGATATTGTTTCTGCCAGCAATCCAGTGTAGCCGGCCTAAAGGAATACTCAATGGACAGGTGGTAGGGGACAGCTTCACCTACAGATCTACTGTGTCCTACGAGTGTAACCAGGGTTACCAGCTCTCTGCCTCCTCTTCATCGGTGAAGCAATGCAACCAATATGGCCAATGGATCCCACGCAAAGATCCCGAGTGTGTTCGTGTGCAGCGCTATTATTTTTCATCAAAATGAATCGATTGACGTATTTACTGAAGTAGCCTGCTTTATCACTATTTCACTACATGTACAATAGTATTGGCCAATAAGACAAACTCAAAGACGCTAGATAGACCTGACTTATTAAAGGACATAAGATGCATATGAGGGTGCTTCTCCACACAGTATGGTAAATTCAGACTACGTCTCTCACTACATGAATTAATGACAGAAATATGATTTTTCACTTGGTTCCAGACAATTAGGTACTGCATATTTCCTCCTACTGGGGTACATTTTCTTTTTTTTTTTCTTTTTTTACACTTCCGAAAATCAGACGACACAAAGGTGATACAATTTCCTAACACCGCCACGTCACGAGTCTATGGCTTTTAAAAACCAAACAAAATCTCCCTTGTCGAAAAAGCTAATAAATACTGCCAGAAAACGGTCATCAACTGCTATATGTTATTGGCTAGATTGGTTATAATTCTGTTCTACACTTGTGTCACTAAATGTCACTTTTGCGTCTATTTCCACTTGAGTGTTCTGTGCAGCCTGTCTAACACCCCATTTCCATAGATTAGATCGACCTACTTTAGATCGACCTAACTCCCTGGGGTTTCACGCTAAATAGCTGTCAGCCGGGCGGACACGAAAGTTAATTACCTCATTACAGCTTGTAGTAGGCGGGACGGACATTTAAGTCGGATTATCTGAAAGTAATCTAGTGAGACTCCCCGCGGGGATAGATCGATCTAAAATCTATGGGAATAGAGCCTAAGACCGTTCACCCTTTTTCAGCAAGTGTCTTTATTTTTTTCTTTGCTGTCGGATATAACCTCCGCCAGTGGAACACAATTGTGTTTGCGTTGCTCTGTCACTTGCTCGGTCACAATGCAGTCTCTGCCAGCGGAACACAATTGTGTTTGCGATGCTCGGTCACAATGCAGTCTCCGCCTGCGGAACCCAATCGCGTCTGCGATGCTCGGTTACGCATTCTTATCAGTCTTTAGCCAAAGCTATGGGCGTAAATAGTACACGTATATAAAAAAATACAGGTAACTACAGTACTGATCCTCAGATGGCACGTGTATATAAAACTGGATTGACAGGAATTGCAGGTATAGTTGCGGCAATGTCACATAAGACCGCCTCGAAGTATTTAAACAAAACCCCGAAATATATGTATAATGTGTCTTGTCTTCATATATAACCTGTTCATGAAAGATTATGATTTAAAAAAAGTATGTCTTATTTATAGCTAATTAAGTGTATTGTTAAAAACATATATTTTATATTTTTTCTACTAGTGTTTTATTATATTAAAATAAAACTCCATTTGTATTTTGAATAAAAAAATGAATAAAAAATGCCAACACTGAAATATATCGGGGTTAGAAATTGCTGACAGAAATGGACAAGACGCTTGTGTTTGGTCCTCTGGATAATAACGTCACACTGGATTAACCTAGCTATTGCCTGGCAACAAGAACGTCGCGTGTTCTATTTCTGTCTATTGAGATATCGATTAATGCAAAATGATTATTAAACACGGTTTTAATCACAGCTCATCTCTCTCTCTCTTCTGTTGTTTGAGTTTTGTAACCGTACATATACGTACGTTTTTACTTTTAACCAGCTTAAAGTTTCACAATTAATATCAAATTGTTCCTCGATGGAATTGAATCTCGCTTAATTAGCCTATGTCTGAAATAGAAAATATAACCTCCATTTCTTCTCTGATAACATGTTGACTCAGTCTACATACATAGCACACACTGACGTAGACATGACCCTAGTCATTTGTCAGTGACCTCTGTCAATTTAGTTGACCCGCTTTTATATTTAGTGTTATGTGAGCTTAAAATGAGGTAGGGATATCAGCCATTAATTCACTGAGGTAGCTATCAGCTGTATGTGATCAGGAAATATTTGGAGTTAATACCTAAACGCCCTAGAGCTACAATCAGACTTTAAAACTGCATGGTGAAAAAATTATGCTGTGTTGCCCGGCCCACGCCAACAACAAACACCAAGTGTTTACACAATGCAATATAATATATATAATATACATGTACCCATCAGAGGCAATGTTAATTAAAACAGTAAATTTAAGGCCAATATGGGGTGCAAGGGGTGTCTTGTCATTACTTAATCAATGCGTTTGCATATGTGTGTATTTTTACAGCACCCAGTTTCAATTAAAATCACTAAACGAAATAAAAATACATAGATTTATTAAATCCATCTAAAAGATCTTATTTTACTTACTCCAATATCTATCAGTTTATTACACGATGTTGTGTTGGCTGTTGACCAGTGCTGTAAGATTTTTAAAAGATGAAAAATTTGAGAGACTAAATTACTAATTTAAGTTGATCTTAGTTCGAAAATTAATTAGCACGTTATTTTTTATGTTAGCACGTTACTTTCTTAATCTCAGAACCTCCATTGAACATAAAACCCCAGGAAAAAATACACTTTATTAACAAAAGTGACAAACTTGTCAACAATAATATAAAGTTTACATCATTTATATATGCAATATGTACTTGTACACACATTATATATGATTTCATATAATATTATAATATATAACAGCATACTTTATCATAATCAATTGAGAATTACACTAGCTAATACCCGTCACATCAATTACTGAACCATAACAATAATTAAAAAGAATAAAAGAAAAAAAAAAGAAAAAAAATGACAGAGCAGAAATTGAACCCAGTCCGCCATTTTCGGCAGCCAAGGACGTTACCACTGGCTTAGCAACCTGCCATCTGATGTAGTGTTATTGACAGTAATTGGCACTTCCCGCACATGACAAAGTTTTGCGGAAATTGTCTAATCCTAGAAAATAACTTCAAAATATACTTTTAACAGTTATAATCAAATTCAAACTACGAACACAATCTTCCCACTGACCTAAGGTATTACTAACGTTGTAGTTCGGGAGAAAAACGTGAAAAGGAGACTTCGGCTGATCTGATATTACTACATAGATTGTAATACTAGGGTACATTTATCAGTGCATTAATCATCTGCAAATATCAACAGTAACGATTGCATATAGTTTTCTCGTGATTTTTGCTCCCACAACACCTTAGCATCCATTTTTGTACAGGTATAGTAATAACTTTAAACAAGTATATACAAGTAATTTCAGACGGTTTTCATCGAGTTACAGTGTAACTACATGTATGACAACTGTCTCGCCCTGTCTAAGTGCAAAGTATAAAAACACATCTAAATCAGCATCCCGACTTTGACTCTATATATACTTAATATTCATCACACATCTGACATTACAATAACACAAGTGAACAAAGCAAATCGGCTGTTAAATGATGCCTAATAATATATATATATATATATATATTAAAGCTGTTGACAAACGAATAAAAGCATGTCTATCAAAAACAAACAACAAATAAAACTGTTCAACTTTAAAACTTGACACTTGGATATAAAACCAGGTGCGCTGGCAGATTCAAGATATAGTGGCAGGTCGGAGACCCATAATGCTATCATTAATGTGAATACATTAATTTGCAAAAAATCTGGGAATTTTACAGTGCTTCAATTTAGTTGTAGAATCTGTTGTTTCTCCCCTTTTTGTAAGGGACTGAGTCCGATATTCTCCCTTAGAGAGAAATTCTAAGGACCGCTAATCTGCATCTACTAGCGACGTGGGATTTTAAAATACTATAGCATAGCAGTTCAGAATGACACAGTTCGTTTTTCACCACTACCTATAGTTCTTCCAAGAAGCCATCAGCATTTATGAAACGTCCATCTTATATAATTTTACACACATGAACCCTAGCTAGATCTGGTGAAATTATGTCTCGGCGATTGTAGATTTACTAAAGTTTTAACACGTGTGTTTGACTTTTTAACAATGACCTGCATTTTGAACCTTGCACTTACTATCTGTTTTGACTGACATACAAGGACTTATATACTGGCATGTTAACTATTTCAACACACTTTATAACCCTCATAAAAAAGCATTGTTCTTGTTAAGATCTTTGAAATTAAATGAAAAAAAATCTAGCACATAGTTGAGAAGGATGAATGTGAAACTGTGGTTTTGTCTTATTAAATAGATTGATTCCTACGAATTTACAGCTATACGGCAGTAAGTCAGGAAAAATGGAACACCTGTACATATATAGACTGGAAAGTTCTGACAAAAATCTTGGGGAGACATAACATTGCATAGATACATGAATACACTTCAGGTTTCAACTAAAAAGTTAATACAAGTTATAAAGATGTCGGGGAGACACAACATGGCATAGATGTGTAGATGGACTACGGATTTGAACTGGAAAGTTATAAAGATCTCGGGGAGACATCACATGGTATAGATATGTAGATGCACTGCGGGTTTGAACTGGAAAGTTATAATAATCTGGAGGAGACATCACATGGTATAGATATGTGGATGCACTACGGGTTTGAAAAGGAAAGTTAAGGTAGATTGGTCGTTACATGTTCCAACGTTCGAATTAAAAAAAAAAATGTTTGTACAAAAGTACATTTATAGTACATTAGAAATTTGCCAAAAAAAGTGGAGGTCACCGACCAAAGAAGAGAACTACGCCAAGTTGAAGTGCGTTACACCCTGTGTGACGCACTAGTCGGAAGTCCCCATTCAAATCAATAGGACAATTGGTGTTTTTGCACTAAATGTTTTTTTTTCTTTTTTTTTCTTTTTTTTTGTGTGTGTGCGTGTGTGTGTGTGGAGAGACATCTAAGTACATTAAAAACGTCATTATGTTTAACAGTTGAAGTGAGTATACTCAGCTATTTTCAGATTTGTCATACTGATGCGAAGGTGTAAGCCTTTAACTTTACATCAAAATTATTGAAGAGAGTAATAAGGGACATACTCATGCATATGAAAATAGTTTATTGCCGTTGTTATGGTTTATTTATGAATATAATATGAACATGACATCGTAAACACTGTGTTGTCAAGTAAAATGAAGCGTCTGATTCAAAGTATTACATGCGGCATCCACGTGCTTGCTTGCGGTTCGTTCAGTACACTTTGTTTTCGAAGTCAGAAGTGCACATTTTTTTCTGTATAATATAACACAGTTTCAATTTTGATTAGTAAATTCTCTTCAAGCTGTATGGCCATTTTCTGAACATTTGTATAAGCTACAAAATATGTCTCAGTCCAAATTTCTCTAAGTCCAAATGAGTGGCGTTACGACGCACTTCCGGTTTTCGTCGAAATCTAAGCTGCGGTTTGCAGCACATTCAGGGCGTTCTACCTCAAAATGTACGCAGTCGCTTTGATTGGAATTTACAACACTTATTCTTTACATGACATAGCACATATGTGCATAATTTGTGAGCTTTAGCTGCCATACTTTTTCTAGTGCCAATTCAAATTGGAAAAGGAGTATTCCGACGATTTCTTGAAGGGCAAGTGTACGAACGTGCTACAGTTGTCGTATGGAATCATAGGCTCTATTCCCATAGATTTTAGATCGATCTATCCCGCGGGGAGTCTCACTAGATAACTTTCAGATAATCCGACTTAAATGTCCGTCCCGCCTACAACAAGCTGTAAAGGGGGTAATTAACTTTCGTGTCCGCCCGGCTGACAGCTATTTAGCGTGAACCCCCAGGGAGTTAGGTCGATCTAAAGTAGGTCGATCTAATCTATGGAAATGGGGTGATAGTCGACAAATGTTGTCGAAAATCTGTATCAATCATACAGACTTACAGACAAGTTGATAATGTGTGTTTATCTTACAGATAATTATTTTATTTTCTCAAATTGGTAAAACAGACTGAAGTGTCGTTAGAGACGATTGACGATGCGCTGAAATTGCGCCAATCGTCAAATTACGTAACGACCGATCTACCTTAATAAAAGTATTTTGGAGATTTCACATGATATATACTGCACGTGCCAGAAAAGAAAAAAAAAAAAAAACGTTAAGTCTTTGTTTTGACCGTTGCAAATGTATCAGTGTTATTGTTTGGGTGGGCATAAATTGTTATTTCCGGACAGAACTCGTAGTGTTTGGTGGAAATTTGAATGGCCAGTGATACAGAGATGAAGACCTCAATATTTTGTCCCAATTTGTGTTCAGATAAGATGCCTGAAAATCTTATAATCATACAGAATGGTGTTTGGCGTGATGACAAGGCTCAACACGTTGGGCAGGGATAATTGGTACAAATTAATTCAAAATTGATTTAAACATTGCAAACATGGATTTAAAAAATGCATCATCTATCATATCATCTCTAATTTTATGGTGAATATTCCAACAGTAATACAAATTATTGCCACCATTCATGTGAAAAAAAGTTGGAGCTTCCATATGTCTAAAATTTGTAATAGAGCTTGAAATCCCAACCAATAAAACTTAAGAATCGATCACCCTGACCATATTCTCCTTTGACAATCAATTCAGTGGCAATGTATTTGCTCATATTCATGATTACTATCATTAATATGCCTCTTTTTACATCACGCACAAAACTATCGAGACTCATGGTTTTGGGATGCATGGCACCAAAATGCTCTACATAGACTTCACGAGATTTCTCATAATTTGTAAGTGCCTCTATGTAATTACCGATGAAACATAGTGCAGTGCCAATATTCATGTATGTCACGGCAGTATCAGTGTGTTTCTCACCAAGTATTTCTTTCTTAATTTCAAGGGATTTCTCATAGTATGTAAGTGCCTCTGCGTACTTACCCATGCGACGTAGTGCATTGCCTATATCCTGATATGTCGCTGCGGTATCAGGGTGTTTGTCACCAAGTATTTCTTTCATGATTCCAAGAGATTGCTCATAATATGGAAGTGCCTCTGCGTACTTACCCATGAAATATAGTGCAACGCCAATGTTCACGTATGTCGTAGCAGTTTTAGTGTGTTTCTCACCAAGGATTTCTTTCATGATTCCAAGAGATTTCTCAAAATATGTAAATGCCTCTGCGTACTTACCCATGTCGCATAGTGCAGTGGCAATATTCTGGTATGCCACTGCAGTATCAGGGTGTTTCTCACCAAGTATTTCTTCCATGATTCCAATAGATTTTTCATAATATGTAAGTCCCTCTGCGGGCTTACCCATGTTACATAGTGCATTGCCAATATTTTGGTATTGTGCTGCAGTATTAGGGTGTTTGTCACCATGTATTTCTTTGTTGATTAAAAGCGATTTCTTATGATATAGAAGTGCCTCTGCAAACCTACCCATCTTACTTAGTACACTGCCAATGTTCTGGTATGTCAAAGCAGTATCAGGGTGTTTCTCACCAAGTATTTCTTTTTTAACTTCAAGAGATTTCTCATAATATGTTATTGCCTCTGCATACAAGAAAAGATTTTGAAATACACATGCAATTACAAACAGATTTTGTGATTTTAAAAATCTTAATCTTATTTCTTTATCATGAAGTTTTTTGTTGCCGAGTTGATCAGATAGCAAACAAGCTATAAATTTCAGGTGTGGAAGTATTTTTAGGGCCTTTTCATACGTTTCCTTGGAGGAAAGGGTATCAAATTCGGATACCAGAAGAGGCGTTTGCTTCATGTAATGTTTACAGTACGCTTCTTGTATGTGTTCTATTTCATTTGGATATTTCTGTGCTTGAAACGCTGCATAAGCTCTTAATAAGGGATGGAAGTCATAGAAACTTGGGTCTACACTTAAGAGGGATTTGTTGCAAAGACTGTCAAGGATAGATTCGCATTCATCCTCATCTATTTCTAACATTTCTGAAACTTCTTCCAAGGAAAATGGCACAGGAAATATGTGCAAAGCCCGAAAAACTTTCTGTTCTTCAGTATTCAGTGTTTCATAAGACATGTCCAGGCATGCCATCATTTCTTGAGAAGCTGGAAGATTTGCAACCTTAAGGCTTTCGATAACATTTTTGTTTTTCATCCTATCTAATACTCTCTGTGCATTTTTTTTCTTGAGTTGAACTGCTAATAATTTGAGTGCAAGGGGGTTCCCCCCGCATTTCTCCGCTATTTCACCTAACACTAATGATTCACTATCAGTGGGACTATTGGGTTTTCCTTCCCAAAGGATACCAATGGAGGGTGCCTTATCAAGGGGGGGTACCTCTACAACAGCCATCTTATGTGATACAAGACTGAATGCTTCACGACTGGTACATAGTAAAGTGATATGCTTTGTTGAATTCAAAATGGTTTGCACCAAGTTATGGAATTCTTGCAAACTGGACTTAATGACCTCATCATTGTTATCAAAAATTATAACAGTGTTTGAAGTTGAACTAGAAAAAGTCTGTGTCAATATATTGTGATAGTCACTGTATAAATCTTTCAGGGATCGTGTAGGGTGGAAGTACTGAACTAGAGATAACTTCACAGATTCTAGGTTGGTGACTTGTCTCATATCAATATACAGAACATTTTGCTTGCGATGCCCGACCTCGATAGCCACCGATGTCTTCCCAATGCCCCCCATCCCAGTTAGAAGAACAAGTCGGGTTTCACCTGCAATGTGCTGCTGTATTTGCTGTACCAAATCTTCACGGCCTTTTAGGTCAGCAAGTTTTCCTGGTAGCTGTACTGAGAGGAGCTGACATGGGGCAACTGAAAATAAAATATCAAAATATGATAATAAACAGGACTATAACTTTTTGAAATAATGACCTTGTTAGCCTATCAATCTACGTAGATTTTTTTGATTTATGGAATATTACATAATTAAATGGTTTAAATAAATATTTATTCAAAATCCAAATCATATTGTACTTAAACCACACGTCATCAGTATAGTATATTTCAAAATAATTGGTTCACAAACAATATCAAGAATTTGTTTATATTGCTCGATCCTGACTGTATTCAAATATATGTATGCCTGATTTAGTTAATTTGTAATTGCATATACTCATGATGGAAGCAATGTATAATAAATTCCTTTACCAAAGAGTGTTACCTCTACCGCATTTATGTACATGACTACAAGAGTACCCATAGATTAAATTGCACTATTACATAACGACCGTCGTGTAAATTGGGGGTGTGAGTAGTAGAACATTAAGCTACCTAACGTGACCACAACGGCAACTATATATTGATATGCAGTTTCTTAATTAGTGGGATACATTATTTTCCAAGCGGTAGACAATGGAGGGAGGTTCAACCCGCAGAACTACATGTACCAGAAGTTTAGGTTGTTCTATGAGAACCATTTAGTGGATAAGGCTGCATCATAACCAAGCAGACACATGAGCAAGATAACCTGGGTAAAGCCGCCAGAAAGCCCGGGGTACACTGCTCTTGCAACCTTAAGGTAACATTGTGGCACACTAGCTGGCAGTCACTTGCGATCACTTCGCAGGCTGAATAAGAAGCTTTGGCATATTTTGGCAATCCGTCGGAAATCGGTTGCAACAAGGTTCCAGTATGATAACTACAACTTTTTAAATACCACATTCAAGTTATAGGCTATCAGTTAATTTTGGTAATTTCTTTCAATGGTGTAGGAGAACTGGTGGTTGCCAAAGGAAATCTTAGAGAATAATGAGAATAATGCATCCAAGTACTAGAAAGAATATCTTTGGGGACCGTGACCACCCATTTATGTTTCAGCATGAAAGTGCTACTGAACGTACCTCCAATGCAACAGTTTAGACTGGCTATATGCGTACAGCACACGGACAAAGCAACATGACTCGATATGAGAACCAGACAACTCTGACGTATTACATATGGACTACGATAGCGTAAGATACAAAATCGGTAGAAATGTCACTAAAAGAACTTAGAGAAGAGAAGATAAAGGGAATAACTATCAGAACAAAATCCAGATGGAAAGCTGAAGGAGAAAAAAGTAGTAGATACTCCTGCAATCTAGAAAAGAGAAATTATACCGAAAAACTATTTCAAAATTAGTCACATCTGATAAGACAGAACTGACAAAATTGAATAATATTATTAAGGAACAAAAATATATTATGAAAGCCTCTATTCCTCAGATAAAACGAAACTTACTGAAGTGCACAGGCAGATATATATGATAAATGACAATCCCCATATTAATAAATTAACTGACGAAGAACGCGACTATATTGAGAAAGAAATTACTACGCTGGAATGTCATAATGCTTTAATAACATGAAGAATGACTGATTGCCTGGTATCGACGGATACACAGTGGAGTTCTATAAATTCTTTTGGTCCGACTTGAAACAATTCATTGTACGCTCATTCAACGTTTTGTTCATTAGACAATGTATGTTAATAAGTTAAAGGCAAGGACTTATGACTTGTCTCCCTAAGGCCGGAAAAGATAAAACAAAATATTTAAATAACTGAAGACCAATCTCACTGCTAAATGTTGATTATAAAATTGCCTAAGCCTGCATTGCAAACTGTATGAAACTTTTTTTGAAAAAAACTGATAAGTGACACACAGCTTGGGTTTGTAAAAGGCCAATTCATGGGTGAATGCACCAGACTGGTATATAGCTTTAATAGAAAGAACAGAAAAGAGACAAATTCCCGGATTACTACTTCTCCTCGGTTACGAAAAGGTTTTTGATTCCTTAGAACGGGACTTCATATTTGAAACTTTGTCCGCCTTTAATTTCGGTCGCATCATGATACAGTGGGTTAAAACCTTATACACTGATATCTCCTCTACAATACAAAATAACGGTCATCTTTCGGAGTTCTTTAAGGTAAAAAAGGGGTTTACGACAGGGAAAAAACCCTGTCCCCATATCTTTTTCTTCTTTGTTTAGAAATTTTCTCGGCCACAGTTAAGACAGACAGTACCTGGCGTAACTGAAATTTATATAAACAATACAGAGTTTCTTATTACGTCTTATGCAGATGATACAACTCTTATACTGGGAGACGACGAGTTCTCCTTGAACAGGGTCCTGTATTTAATCACTGCATTCTCCGAATGCTCGGGCCTGAGAGCCAATCTCGAAAAAACAGAAGCAATATGGATTGGGGCCAAGAGAGGATGTTACAAAAAATCAAACCGAAAAAGAAATAAAATGGAATCATGAAGGTGCATTTAAGTTGCTTGGTATAAAATACGAATTGGAAAAAAGTAACCATTGGGAAATTAAATTTTATAGAAAAAAATTGAAAAAATGAAAAATACGTGGAAGTTTGGTCCTTGAGAAATTTTTCAATAATAGGAAAGGGAACAGTGGTTAAAACTTTAATATTTCCTATCTTGATGCATATACTAACTGCCCTGCCAAACCCCTCCAGACCACATCTTTAAAACTATAGATACGATCACATTTAGCTTTATCTGGAATGGGAAAAGAGAAAAAATAAAATGAGCAACTATAGTGTCTGAGCACGAAAAGGAGGTCCTAAGGTACCACAAATTAAACTTTTTACTAAGGCACTAAAACTATCATGGCTAAAAAGACTTTTGGACAAAGAAGACAAAAGCAAGTGGAAAGTGAACTGGATGTGGTTCTGTTCATGTTTGGGGTGCCATTTGCAGCAACGATATTTGCCCATTGCTTCCTCTGGATGAAGACCTTTACGCTGCCAGATACAGAGACATTCTCCAGCAGAACCTGGAGCCGTTCGAAAGAGGGATATACAGAGACAGTTTTAGATTGCAACGTGACAACCCAACTCCCCAAACAGCCCGCTTAATTGCAGACTATATCCGACAAAACAACATTCAGCTGATGCCCCAGCCAGCAAGAAGCCCAGATGCAAACCCAATTGAGAACATGTGGGACGAACTTGGTCGTGCTATTCAGAGGAGAAACCCTCCCCCTGCAAATCTAGATGAACTGCGAGATGCCCTTCAAGATGAATGGACCAGAATTCCTCTCCAAAGAGCTGTAACTCTAGTTCACAGTATGCCACGCCGTCTGGCGGCCATTATACAAACTCGGGGTGGGCATACCCGCTATTTAGATTAATAATGAACGCTGAAAATGTTTCTTGACAATTTCCCTTAATTTCATATTAATTATCAATCACGGCATAAATTTATGTTTAATATTTCACTTGGTACTGTTACGTTAAAAAAGTACTCTTTTTGGGGGGCATGAGAAAAACATAAATAAATTAACGCTTTTTTCACATTTGCATTGTTTCTCCTTGACTCTACCAATCCTCCAGCTTCACATATTTAACAATATAAACAGTATTAATTTGGTAATATCAATAATAATGAAAGAAACAGGGCGATATGCATACCAAAATTTCCGTGTACCAACCATTTTGGGCAAGAGTGTACAATACTGGAACTGTTAACATTTTTGTTACTGAGAGAGAAAGAGAGTCCAAGTATGTAAATGTGTGTGTGTGTGTGTGTGTGTGTGTGTGTGTGTGTGTGATTGATTCATAACCCCAAAACCGTAAGATTGTATATTTATTTACTACTGAAAAAAAAAAAAAAAAAAAAAAAAACTCTGACGTATTAGCCCTCACAATCTACAAAATATCTATTTAAATAATAAATAGGTCGAATACGGCGGTATTCTTATGATGTGTGATAATATTCATTTTAACTTAATATCCCAATAATGACTAGGAAGTATTTAGGATTCCACATAGGGGAATACTATTGTTTTTCCTGTTATTATTCTTTTTATTATTTTTCGTCAAAAAAATTTTTTTTTAATTCTGAAAAAAAAAATATTGGTAGCCTATAAAAAGTTATTCCGGTCCACCCAATTTTTTTTACCTTGACCTAATTTTCAAGGTCACAGAGCATTTTAAAGTGAATTTTTTTGCAAATTTCAAAATGCAATATCTTCTAGAATTTTCAACATTTTGACAAATCCTTTCATAGGTGAGGTCACACAAAGATTCTATATCATGAAACCTAATTTTAGGAAATGTAGGTCAGGTCAAGGTCAACCTATTGCAAAATATGCTCCAGGAGGTTGACACTCGGCAGGGGGTAAACCCGATGTTACAGAGCCACAACGGTGATGTAAAAAGTTGCCCTAGATATCTTTCCAGTGCAGTCGCTAATAATATTGACTATTGACTGATTAGATTTTTAATATAGATTTTTAGATATTAATAATTTCACAGAAATAGTGACTTTGTCAATTTCTCCTTGAAATATTGATTTTTTGTGATAACATGCTGTAGTAAACTACCCCAAACATATACCCAACACCCCCAAATCAAATGTCACATTTGACCTTGACCCTCATTTTCAAGGTCATTCGGCTATTTCGTGGAGAAATATTGAAGTAGACTAAAAGTGATGTTTTGTTGACCCCCACACCCAATTCGCACATGTCCTTTCAGAATATGGGGTCAAATTTAACCCATGACCTTCACATGACCTTGTAAGAGCATTTCCACGCCTATTTTACAGGGGAATCCTCCGCCACTGGCTGAAGCCAGTTGCAGTCTAGTTTGATTTCTTTCATAACAAAATTTCAATTTTCACGAGACTATAAATCGGCTCCTATATACCACCGTCACACTAGAGGCAGAATGAACAAGAATGCCGTCGGAAAGACAATTCTTTATGCATTCCTGGATATTCAAAGAGCATTTTAAAAATTCCGAGTGCATTTCAAATAGTTTTACCCATTCTTGTGGTCGGCCTGAATGTTAAAAACTTTCGAAGTGCATTTCAAGTGGAAAATTATCGAATGGAATTTGAGTAGTATTCTAAAAGCACTGTGACTGCATTCTAAATATTCTCACGACATTTCGACAACATTCGAAACATTCTGATCACATTCTAGGAATATTCGAACTGGCACGCGACTTAAGGCCCCCGTCGCACTTATTCGGAACCAGCAGGAATCAAGCTAGAGCCAGCCAGAATGAATTAATTGAAAAAATTATGCCAAAATCGGGAGGAAATTTCAAATTGCATTTCCGAATGAAGTTCAAATGCCGTACGAGTGTGGTTTGACTGCTGGCCGAATACAGGCAGAAGTATGTAAGAAGGTGCCTCGAATGATGTATGAAGCGAACTCAAATCGGTCAACTGCCCCCGGTTTGGCTGCCAATGATGGTTGGAAATATAACGAATCCAAACATAATGTAGCTGAAATACCTAAAACATTTAATTAAAATTACTTTCTAACATGCTTAGAATGTAACACGAAGCCCAGAGTGTATAAATAACGCCACAGGAATGGTAACTGATCATAATGTTTCGAATGCTGTCGGAATGCCGTGAGAATATTTAGAATGCAGTCATAGTGCAGTTAGAATACTGTTCAAATGCCATTCGATAAATTTCCTCTTGGAATGCACTTCGAAAGTCTTTGCATGACAAAAACATTCGAGCCGGCCTCAAGAATGGGTAAAAATATTTAGAATGCACTCGGAAGTTTTAGATTGTTTTTAGAATGCTATACGAATATCCAGGAATGCACAAAGAATTGTATTTCCGACGCCATTCTTAATCATTCCGCCTCTAGTGTGACGGGGATTTTATACTCCGCCAGAATGTTTCGAATGTGCCTCGGATGAGCTGAAATATTAATTTTGGCAGCAGTCGAACTACACTAGAGCGCCCTTCAAAGTATATTCTAAATATTCTTACTACAGCATTCTTCTTACAGCATTAAAAATATTCCTAGTTTTCCAACTACATTCGAGCTGCTTTTGAGAGCTACACAGTCGAAAATGCACTCATGATTCCAGGCGAACTCAAGCGCATTCTGAGTATTCCAACGGTACTCTTACAATAATTAAGATCAATTTGAAATTTTTCCCCCGAATGTGGTCCGAATTTTAAAAAGTCTTCGTTCGGGCTTATTCTTCTTCACTCCTGCTGATTCCGAATAAGTGTGACGGGGGAAATACATGAGTGTCGTTTCCCCATTTTCGAGAAATTATATATGTCTGTTGTATCACAGAAGTGAAAGTTAAACACTCTATATCGGTTAATTTAATTCTACGTGGGTTCTCTGATATGAATTACCTAAAATGAACCTTCCTACGTTTTTGAAAGACTTTTGTAATAACAATCACATTAGCCACGAGTATTTTCGTCACAAGAGTGGGGGAAGGGTGAAAATTTCCTTGGGACCATATGTAACAATATAAATACAAAGGGGATCCCCTTTCACAAAAGGCAAAATAAATGTTATATATTCCAGGCAATTTACCTTTTAATGCATACAATGATCAAAACATTTCCAATGTAATTTCTCGAAACGACACCAGAAAGCAAATTTTAAAAAAATGAAATCAACCAATCTAGATCAGAACCCCGTTGAGAATTTGTGGGATATCCTAAGAAATGAAAAGCTGATGGATAAACTTTTTTTAAACTGTCTCTGGTACGCAATCACTACGCAAACGTTGTTAATCTGCATGTATTTAATACCAGGCACAGACGCGTCAGGAGCGCCCTTCAACCCAGAGAATACTGCAAAATATTAAACACGATGAGTATTTTTAAACTACACGTATGGCTGACTTATTCGTTTGTTGTACAGGTAGTAAAGTGTTGTGAAAAATCACTTTTAGAAGTTGAATAAATAAAACTGGTTAATGACATTATATCTGTAGCACTTTACGCATTGTATAAGGGGTGACTTTTTGGTAGGGGAATATAGTTAGCCTGAATGCCTTACCGTAGACCAGTAGGAATAAGCACAGTCAACACTAATAAAAATGTTGCATAGTTCAGCTCCGTAAAATACGTTTCTTAAAATTATGAACCACTTTCATTCTTTGGCAATGAACGTTGTTTAAACATTATAAATTACTTACCTTTAGCCTCCAGTGGTACAATAAGAAGTTTTTCGTAATCATCACTGGTATATATTGGTGATAGTGACAGCAACACGTGTTTGAAGGCATTAAACTCTGCCTGAAATACTGTGTCATTGATCCCAGGGCTTCCATGCATGTGGTTATTGCGGTAGGTCTTCACTCTACCGATGTTGGCCTCTATGGATGTATCTGAAGCTGGTGGGTTTTCCCATTTAGCACGAGGGTTCAGATTGGTGATGTTTCTTAGTAAAACAACTGCAAGTGTAATATCTAAATCCTGCGTTGTCACAGTTGCTGAAGGGGTGCCAGAGGGGTACAGGAGTTTCATTTGACTCGAGTTAATTACCTTTCTCTTTTTCAATAGTAGCAAGGAGTGCTTAACTTGTTGATTGTCAAGTATATCAAACAGTTTGTCAGTTTTACTGGGATCAAATAGTCCTGGATAAGCTGCTTGTAGCTGAGTCCTGAGAACATCTCGAAGCACGTCGGTTGCACGTTCTAAGAGCAGCCGCATGCGAAAATAATTTTCCTTTTCATTTCGTGGGATTTCTGAGGGTATTCCTAGAGTTGTTGCCATGGTTAACGTCTGGGTTCTATGAAAACAAATTGTATTCATATTTTACAGTCAATAAAATAATAAGGGGCACACAATGATCTTTATATAGAACTTTAGAGAATTTTACAATTTATAAAGGTGTTTTCCACAGGATTAGCCCTGCAAAAATGATTAATTAGATATTCTCCCTACATGTTTAAAAATTCCTTTTCCCTGCACCGGTCGGGTTATATAACGTATTTATTAGTCTCGTTGTTAAAGTTAAAACGTAAGATATTTGCCAATGAGGTCATGTAATTATGAGATAAAATGGAGAATGCAAATATAATGTATTGGTGACATGCAATACCATGTGAAAAATATATATTCCAAAACACATAACAGCTGAAAGGTGAATGACTAAGGAATTTCATTATAACTAAAATTCCAATTTTAGAAAGTAAACATTTAGCTCTGTAATAACATTGGCTTGTTAAAGACTAGCTGCGTGCAAGTTATTTAAGCCTGGGTCCCAACTCCACGCATAATTTTCAGGACGTACGCTTTTTTTAAGGTTCCTGTCGTCTGGCTGGGCCGTAGACCCAGATTAATAGATTTAATCATACAAAGATAATTTTGTTGTCCAATGTGTTAAAGATTACCGTCCACACTGTCCATAGCTACACATTACACATGTACATCTAACATCCATCTGTTATTAATAATTCACATGAGACGCTTTTTATTTGTTCAGTGTATTTTGAGCGGACAACAACATTTACTGATCTTCCCTGTACCTGTCGGATAAATGGTAACAAAACCCCCACTCTTAAGCTGAAGTCATCACGATCAGTTATTTGTGAGATCTGGCCTTAATTTTGATAAAGAATTATTTTCCTGAATTGAGGGGCACATCTATATCTGTCACCCTGAGCTTCAGAGATAACTTGACACTAACCTCTTCACTATAGCCTATCTTCAGCTCGAAAAAACCGCCGTTTTTGCTGTGAAAAGGTCCACTCTGGGTAAAATTTGGTCTAGGTACATGAAGTTTTTATAGAAAAAGGTCCACTTTTTCAGAAAAAAGAACCTCCTTTTGAAATTGCTGGCTACGGGTCTGCACATGTACTTTTACATTTCACATGTCTGATAGAGGGTGAGGTTATACAAATGAACTTGTTAAAGGTATACCATTAAATTAATTGGATTGACATAATAGTTTGCCTGTTGATATTACTTGATTTTATATTATTTGTCATTACTTGCTTCCAGCAGAGGACTGGTAACAGGAAAATTGTACTTTACCGGGAAAACAAGATAAAACACTGGTACATAGGTTAATTATGGTATTAAACCCAAATTTAGTATTAAATTACCAAATGTCTCCTTTCCTAGTCATTCTTGTCACACTGGCTTATCTTAACCTGCTGTGTACTTTCCCTACAGAATTCCGAGCGTCTTTTTTCCGGACTATAAATTTCTATTTCAACCAGCTGCAGGACACTAGTATCATTTTGCATCGTCATATAATCTATAGTATCCGAATGTAGTGAAAATGAATATACCTGTACAAGAACGCTTCGTTCGTACCGCTTACAAGTACATGTAGTACACAGGTATATACCGTACATGTACTATTTAAACTGAATATTGATGATATCTACAGGTATCTACCAGTAAGCAAGAGGTTATTTTTCTACTTTTTCTACTTTTCATTTTGTCCTGTCCTTTTCAAATGGTTGGTATTCACTAGGTATTTACATATATACTATGATGTATATCTATCCTCTA